AGAGCGTGCAAACGTACAGGCTCTCCACTCAATGGTTGGAGTGAAATCATACCCAGTCAATAATTTCGTCGGGTCAGTCAGGGTCAGACGAACTCGTACCAGATGTATTTAAGAATGGAAGCAGAGGATCATTGGTCAAGCTAATTGAGGTGTTAATCTAAGTATGTCAGTCAGATATTATCCCCTCTAACTGGTTTCAATTACTGATTGCCCCAGTGTTCAAGGTGAGTGCTCATTGCGGTAACCATATGAGAATCAACCTGACGAAGATAGTGTTTGCGGTCCTAGGTTGTATAATCATTAAACGTCTAAGTGAAGCTCAGGAACAGCAAACCACAGAAAACCAAGCAGGCTACAGACCTCTTTGTCGGTGTTTCGACTATATATTCAGTTAAAACTGTGGATCTTATGTGAGGCCAGATGTATTGCACATGTGGCGGGACGTTGGGCCAATGTTCGGTTGAGCCAAATGTAGGGCCAATCAGGCTGGTTGCAGGGCCATAAATCAGACGTAGGGGAAGACTTTGAAAACAGGAAGTGAATTTTTCCACGCTTTTGACATTTCTGCTTTTGTTGTGTAATCCACATCAAGAGCTTTCATATAACCCTTGACTTGAAGTACTTAAGTCAGTGTTTGAAGTTTAATCATTTTTTGAGGCTTAAGGTTGGTCTTTGTGTTGTCACAACTTAAGTCCGCCTGTCGGAATCTTGACCGAGTACTTTAGTTAGTACACGACACGAGTAAATAACATGGTCAGCGATAAGCATGTTTGCGGTTGTCCCAGCTGTAAATTTCCAGTGGATGAAGGTATGCAGTGTGATGCATGTGGATGTTGGTTCCACAAAGTTTGTACAGGATTGACACCAACCGTGTACAAGCGTTGCAGCAAACCAGCTTCCCCCTGGTTGTATGATTTCTGCTGCAAGGCATTGCCGACCCTCATCCAGGAAGCTGTTGAAAATTTACTTGTCAAAAAACAGCTATTTGGAAATGATAGCTGTCAGATGATGACGCTGCAAGTGTAATCGTTAATATATCTGACACAGGACCTCTCAGTGGACTAATGGATGCTGGTGATCCAGTTGGTGAAATTACACCAGTCCCGAAGCGTACTCGACGCAAGAGAAAGCCAAGGGCAAATGGTACACCAACCATAATGCCTGAGGTTTCACCGAAAGCCTGCATCTCTGGTAACAGCGTTGACTCTGTAAAATTGGTCAACAAATCTACATGGATTTCTCCAAGAAAGCATCCGAAGAGACTGCCAAAGGTTATCACGGAAGATACTAAGCTTATGAAACCTATTGAGAAGGTTTCAAAGGCCGTCAACACACGACTCAAGGATTCCACTCCAGCGCCCAGTTTAATCTTCTGGAATGTTGAGGAGTCATCAGACAAAGATGCCTCAATACATCACGGCCATGACCTGCAACTAGTCGAGTCGGCCATCAGACGTATTCTACCTGAAAAGTCTAAAGGGGTATACATCTCCAAAGTAGTTAGGCTAGGTAAGAAAATGGACGAAAAACCTGATGAGAAGAGAATTTTAAAGGTTGTTTTAGGCAACAAGGATGAAGTGGATGTACTCTTGAGTAACGCATCCAAACTACGAAATTCGGATATCCGCATCCGACCTGACTGGCCCCTCGAGGACCGCATAAAAAGAGCTGTTGCCGAACTTAAGGCTCGACAGGCTAATGGTGAAAATGATCTTAAAATAGTGGGTTTTCGGGTTGTGAGGTCTTGGAAGCGAATGTTTCCAAGGCCTATATGGGTGGGTCATGGAACTCTTCCAACACAATGAAAGTTATCTACACTAACGTTCGCAGTATTAGAAGCAAAATGACAGACCTCGAGAATCTAATCTGCGAGCTAGGTCCTGACATAGTAGCCCTTACTGAAACCTGGTTGATCAAGGATCTAGATTTTACGCCACTCCTCGCAGGGTATTACTGTGTAAGGACGGATAGGGTTGTGGGTCGCAAAGGTGGCGGCATACTACTATATGTTAGGGATGACGTCCACGTACGGTTAGTCACTTCTGAAGCACATGAATGCGGGACCTGTGAAGTGGCCAGTTGCGAGCTGAAGTCAAAGCATGGTTTCTGTACTATCGGGGTCATTTACCGTAGTCCATCCTGCCTTGCAAATGACTTCGTACTAACCCATATACGTAACTGGAGTAGATGTAACAGATGCCTAATAGTTGGGGATCTGAATGCTCCACACATAAACTGGACGGAGCTAAAAGTCTCACCACCAGGTGGTTCCTTCGAAAATGACTTACTTTTGACGGTCTTAGAATCTGCTTTAGTTCAAAACGTAACATGTGCAACACGTTACGATTTTGAACACAAACTATCGTTATTAGATTTAGTTTTAACCCATCAATGTGAAGACATTCTGGATCTACGATACTTCCCTCCATTAGCTAACAGCGACCATGTAGTACTAACTTTTGGTTTTCGGACTAATGAGTTTGATTATGACACTGCCTCCCCTAGACCTAATGTATGGCGTGCGGACATTTCAAGTATAAGGGATTGCGCAATCAGTAAGGATTGGACTGTCGACAAGGACTCATCAATTGAGAATGCATGGAATAGGTTTAGAACTCTATTTGAAGAGGTAACGACGCCATTTATTCCATGTTCGACTCCACGACGATCCTCACATCACCCTCCGTGGTTTAATAAAGACATTAAGAGACTGTTAAGGTGGAGGAAACGTTTATGGGACTTGTTTCTAGAAACTAGACTGGAAACATTTAAGACTGAGTACTGTAAAGTCCGTAATCTCTGCAAGACTTTGATTACACGGTCTCGAATGTCCTACGAGAAGCAGCTTGTGAGGGATTGCCAAAATTGTCCTAAAAGACTGTTCGCATTCGTCAGAAGGAGGACTAAAAGAAGAGGCGGAATCCCCTTCCTGGCGACGGATGAGAAGTCCGATAGTCTGGCGGAATCTAATCTGTCCAAAGCCGAATGTCTCTCTGATTACTTTAGTGAAGTCTTCTCTGTAGATCATGACGATGAAGTGCTAAATAGTGGTGTCAGCACTGTTCCACTAATAGATACAGTGTTCACAACAAAGGAAAGAGTCTTACAGTTGCTCATTAACCTCAAACCTGGAAAATCCCCAGGTCCCGATGAGTTGCATCCCAGACTTCTATCCTCGCTAGCAGACATCATTGCTGAGCCAGTCACGGATCTTTTCAACATGTCCCTAACTCAGACTCGCCTCCCTAGAGACTGGAAAGATGCCATAATCAGCCCAGTCTTTAAGACCGGTAGTCGCCATTTGGTGTCTAACTATCGCCCTGTGAGTCTAACTAGCATAGTTGTTAAGATTTTAGAAAAAAGTTCGTGACAGGGTACTTAAACATGTGGAATCAAGCAATCTTTTGGCACCACAGCAACATGGTTTTCGTACTGGGCACTCCTGTCTAACTAACCTCCTTATCGCAAGAGAGGAATGGGTTGCAGCCCGTGATTGCAAGCTGCCAATAGATGCCGTGTTTATAGACTTCAGTAAGGCATTCGACAAAGTGTCGCATGTGAAATTACTAGGAAAGCTCTCCTCCTTCGGGTTTGGTACTTCACTGCAAGCTTGGATTAAGGACTTTTATACGATAGAAGGCAAAGAGTAAGGGTAAATGGGACACTATCCGGGTGGAAACCTGTGATGAGTGGAGTTCCTCAAGGAACAATCCTAGGTCCACTACTTTTCTTGTTATATATCAACGAATTGCCAAATATGCTCAACTCTTCGGTACTGTTATTTGCCGATGATGTAAAGATTTGGAGAGCCATACGCAGTGATGCAGATAGGTATGCACTTCAGGCGGATTTAGATGAACTAGTAGGTTGGTCCAAACGTTGGTGCTTGGAAATCAATTCTAACAAAAGTGCAATAATGCACATTGGTCATAGCAATTGTTTCCAGTATTCCGTTGATGGTACACCACTACTTCCAGTCCTTGAAATAAAAGACTTGGGTGTCATCATTAGTCATGATTTGAAAACCTCGGCAAGCTGCAATGCAGCTGCAGCAAAGGGCTTCGTATATTATGGTCCCTTCACAGAGCTTTCAAATTTTTGATGAGGACATGTTTAGAATACTCTACCTACGTTACACCTCACTTGGAATACTGCATTCAGACGACCAGCCCAGGATGCTGACGCACTCGAGAGTGTTCAAAGGGTAGGTACTAAGCTTGTGGGAGGCCTTTCGAACCTGTCCTACGAATAGCGACTAGATCAGCTAGATTTATTCCCACTGTCTTACCGAAGAAGACGAGGTGATATACTGGCATTTCGTATTCTTAATAATGACTTCGGTACTGATATGTCCTATTTTTTCTCCCTTGTTAGAACTGACTATCCCCGAGGGCATCACAAGAAAATTCAAAAACCGCGATCGAATCAACTTAGCGTGAATCTGCGTTTCTCCCATCGTGTTGTCAACGTCTGGAACTCTTTACCTCAGCAAGTAGTATCAGCACCTTCTGTCAACGCGTTCAACGAGAAACTAGATCTTCACAGAGATATCCTCTGCAAGAATTAACACAGGCCAACTGGCCTACTATCCTTGTAACTGAAATTGAAACTTTGGGTCATCTGTAAAATCTCACGCAAAGGCGTTGGGTTACATATGCTAAACATAGGGCCAGATACCGGTTCGAATAGCATAGGGCGATACCTTGTGAACCTTTTGCTAAACCCTACATCTGGACCTAAATCTGGTCTACTGTCTTCTACAGTGAGTGACCCAAAATTGTCTTATTTGGCCCGACGAAAATGTTAACTGAGGTTATTTGTTTCCAACCACTGTTCTATCAGCTTTCACGTTACCATAAAGTATATATTTTCAACGCTTTTCAAAGTGAAAAATATAGGAAGTTATACAAGAATCTATTCCTCATCCCTAAATAATTATGCTAGCAGTACAGCTGTATTCTAAAAGTAGTTTAAAAGCACATCCAAAATAATTTACTTACACTTACTGGAATTTTGTCAGACAGATCTTTGGAAATACCATTTTGTTCAGTATTTAAGCTGAACAGATTGTTACATTTCCTGGACATATCATATGCCTCTACAACCAACTTCGACCCCGTAAACAATTAATGTGAAAGATGCGCCATGAAATACATCATGTAAAACAAGAGTGTTTCATTATGTACTGTTTCTGATGTTTGATACTTAGTTTTCTCTTCCTGGCCATTTGTTTCCAAGGAATAACCCCAGGTTCAAAGTGTTTTTTAATGAAGTAATGACAGAAATTTTGCACCTGAAGTGAAACGATGGTCAGCAACTTCGGAAAAGACAGAAAAAAATTTGACGGACGTTACTAGAACGATTTTATTCATATAAATATGGTGAATTCTGAGTAAAGCTACTTGGCTGGCACTGTAATGGCGGATGTGAAAATTACTGAAGTAACCACTAATGAACAGAATTCTGCCTCAAAAGTAGATACGTGCCTTTTTCCTTTGAGTTATGATTGGCAGAATCTGTTAAGATTCAGTTAAGATGAAGAAATTTTTGTTAAAACGACCACTTTTATCCTGGATTGCAACTCTAGCGTTGCTTCATACGCGGCTAGGAATAAACTCACTCTCATTATTCTCTCGCCTTTTCACCATACTTTTCTGTAAACATCGGCAGCCGATCTTCCTCTACATTTGCAAGTCACTCAACAATTCTTGTACTAGACGTTCTGGCTTGAAGACGCTACTTGTTTGATTTTCTGAAGATCCTTCGTGGCAACATGGCATCTTACGGTGCTAGTACTTTAAAAATTTTCTACACTTCTCATCTTTGTAGCGTGACACGCTTCCTCAAAATCAATAGCCTAGGGTTCGACGAGATTCAGCACTGGTGCTGGTCCGCAAACCAGATATCAACCTCTGTAGCAACATCAGTGGTTAGATCCCCGACAGATGAAGATGTAGCCTCTGCTATCTGTAACGTTACAGATAACCGTAGGTATACCTTCTGTTTTAGTTCAGGAAAATGCATAATTTTCGGTCTCTGTGAAGAGGAAGGAACCAGTGGCGAAGAGAATGTTCAAATCTACTATGTGGAATGGGGTTGTAGGGGTGACGCTTATCAGGCAGCTGAAACGCAAAACATCGTTGTTGGAATACAATGTACCATTTTTTCGCCTCCCGTGATTTTGTAATCAAACTATGGGAGTACCTTACCAAGTCAATAAGGAGACGCAGTCGTGGATATTTTAGTTTAACATCCGTACGTCACCTGAAAATTGAAGGCGTTTTTCCTCTGAGATATGCTCTGAAATTTTGTAATTTACTGTAAGGCAATGTTCCCACCTCCTATTTCGCGACCACTGCATTGCTCCCTTTCATTTGTGCTTCATCCTTTGGCAATTTGATAAAAATACCTAACCACTGGATTCGCACGTGATCTGTAGCGGCAAACACTCCGCCTAGGATTCGGTGCGTCACAACATCGATGTCGACCTTCATGGTTCGATGGACTCGTTAAGCTGAAGGTACACGTTCAAGCGTCCACTCCATCACTCACCTTGTGGTGTCACAATGCACCACTAGTACACGATCCTCTAGACAGTCAGTGAAACTCATTGGTGTATTGGCCTGGCCTGCTAAAAGTACTGCTCCATCTGGCTACTGCATACTGTTCCTTCTTGGTTATGGATTCGAGGGTACATAACCAGTACGAATAAGTGACTAGCCCTTGTGTTTGTGGAGTTCGCGTAATGCCCATTCCCAAAACTTTCTCATGGCCGTCAGGAAAGTGCTTGTCTATTTGAAGATTTTCTTCCGCTAATTGTGGATTTATTTGCCTGGGGAGGCAGCAGAGTTACTTATCAGGCCATCGGTTGACCTTTCGCAATCCTTGTACCTGTAGGCACCTGTAAGTAATTGTCTGGTGTTATTTATGTAGTGAGAGAAATTGTGTTGGCAGGGGACCAGAAAACGGGAGTGGAAAGTAGTTGGGGAAGACAAGTAACACTCTTAATCATTTGGAGAAGAAATGTCTTGTAGTGTGACACACATCCCCAAACCAATAGCCTAGGGTTCGACTACATTCAACATTGCTGCTGACCTTCATGGTTTAATTGGACTCGCTAAGCTGAAGGCACTCAGTCAAGCATCCTCGCCATTCGGCACGCTGTCGTGTCACGTTGCACTGCTCGTAATCGACTCTCTAGCCAGTTAGTTGGAACCCACCTGTACCTCGGCACAACCACCCAAATATACTATTCCATCCGACCACGCTGTCGTGTTCTTCCTTGGTCTCGTATTCCTGAGTATATAACAAGTTCGAATAATTAGTGATTGGCCTTTGCATCTGTCGAGTTCGCACCAGGACGACTCCTGAGTTGGTGAGCTCGATATGATCACATATCCCGACCAATTGCAAATATTGGATTGGTGAGCCTGTTCCATTTCATACCTGTATATTGTTTTCATTTTGATGACCATTATATATCCATTTACAACACTTTCTCATGTCCGACCACACTCTCAAGCTTATTCGTATTAAGCCAACTACGAACACGATCCAACTCGTGCCATATTGGCCAGACAATGCAGAAACATGGTTTCCGTATGCCGAGGCAGATTTTCGAGAGCAGGGAGCCGTAGATCCTCATTCTCGATTTCTTGCTGTCATACGTTCACTACCGCGGGAATCGAACAGATATGTTACAGCACACATGTTCAGTCCTGAAGTAAGTGATCCTTATGCACTTTTCAAAGCCACACTCTTGAAGAAAAGCGATCTCACAGATCGCCAGCGCCTAGACGAACTGCTTCGCAACATCGAGCTAGGCAGCCACTCAGCTACTGAAGTCCTTGCACGCATGTGGGAAGTGATGGGTGCACGAACATTCGACAATGGCCTTTCCCGAGAACTATTTCTCTCAAAACTACCACAACCAGTGCAACCCGTGTTAGTGAGACTGCAGTCAGTCCCACTCGATGACCTGGCAGCCCCGGCAGATAAAATACTAGAGATTTCCAGCAGACCCGTCTCCAACGTATATTCGGTCTGCGGCAAACCATTGAGCCAGGATTCAGAGGTGACCAAGCTGTGCAACTCTGTTAAACAGTTGCTACGATCTCGAAGTCCTAGTTTACGTAGTACTTCACAGGAACGCATCTTAGCGCATCGCAGCAACTCGCGTAGATGCCCCAAAACTAAACCTAACAGGGCGGAAAACCCTAAATGGTGCTGGTTTCCTTATACTTACGGAGACGAAGCCAAACAGTGCCGGAAGCCATGCAGTTTTACCGAGGACACATACTCGGGAAACTGTCACGCTGGCACGTGCTCACGGCAACCGTAGCCGGCGGAAACAGCCGTTTGCTCCACGCCAAAGATATGAAGACGAAAGTTCGCCACCTCGTCAACACGGGTGCAGAAGTTGGCGTCCTTCCCGCACCAGAAAGGAGCATCATCATGACCCATCCTTCAATCTCCAAGCAGCTAACGGCAAGGCAATCACGACATCTGGGAGGCGGTATGCCTACCTCAACTTAGGTTTGCGTAAACCTATCCATTGGATTTTCCTCCTGTCTGACGTCTCTATGCCCATCATTGGCATAGACTTACTAAACCATTACGATTTACTCGTAGATGGTCGCCGTCGACGTCTGATAGATAACAACACGAAGTTATCTACTGACGGCACAACCTACGTAGGTCCGAGTTTAGCCATCGTGAGAGCCAAACCACCAGGTGACGCGTCCTACCAGGCATTGTTGGAGAAATATCCAGAGTTGCAACAACCGAAGCACACTCTTCCGCACATGACCAGCAACGTCACTCATCACGTCACAACCACAGGTCCACCTGTGGCATCCAAAACACGGTTCTTAGACCCTGACAAGCTCAAAAGAGTGAGTAGTGAATTCGACCACATGCCCGAACTGGGCATTATCAGACCGTCGAACAGTCCTTGGGCATCACCACTACACGTGGTTCCCGAAAAGGATAGCAACAACTGGCGTCCAACCGGTGATTACCGAAGGCTTAACGTCAAAACAACTCCGGACTGCTACTCGATACCTCACGTTTACGACCTGACTGTGACGTTAGTCGGAATGAACATTTTCTCCAAAATCGTTTCGGTCAAGGCGTACAACCAGACACCTATGGCAGCAGAAGATATCGCGAAAACAGCCATTATTACTCCTTTTGGTTTGTTTGAATTCCTGCGTATGCCATTTGGTCTTCGGAATGCAGCACAAACACTACAACTCCTTATGGATGATGTCTTCCGTGGTCTAAATCCTGTTCATGTCTACATCGATGACTGTCTAATTGCAAGTTCAGATAAGGAAACTCACCTTAAACATTTGGGCCTCGCATTAGAAAGACTAAAAAACATTGCATCACAGTAAACTTGCAGAAGTGTGAAACAGGAATTGAATCACTCGGCTCCCTTGGGCATACCATTGACAACAAAGGTGTATGCCCATTGGGAGATAAAGTGGCGGCTATCACAAACTATCCAGAGCCGACCACTGTGAAACATCTCCGCACTTTCAATGGCCTGGCAAGTTATTGCCGAAGGTTTATCCCCATCTGTGCCTCTGTCATGAGACCACTAACTGATCTACTTCGAGGGACTATGAAGTTCGTGACTATAGACAACGTGGCTGGAATTGCTTTTTCTGAAGTCAAGGAAGCCACTTCAGAGGCATCCATGCTTACGCATCTCGACCCCAATGCTCCATTGAGTATGGCTGTTGATGCATCTGACTCAGCAATTGGAGTAGGTTTGCAACAGTCGACTGACAACCAGTGGCAACCGTTAGCCTTTCTCTCGAGGCGGCTGCAAGAGGCAGAAACAGGATGCAGCACATTTGGTAGGGAACCCATGGCCATGTACTTTTCTGTACGCCATTTTCGACATTCGGTAGGAGGTCGTGACTTCATTATTTTCACAGGCCACAAACCACTACCCTTCCTCCCTGGCTCGGCACCTGACAAATGCTCCCCTTGTGAGTCGCGACAACTGGATTACGCTTCCCAGTTCACGTCAGATATCAGCCACATTTCTGGAGCAGATGACTCCGTAGCCGACGCACTATCTCGAACAGCTTCGATAAACCATATCGAGGGCGTTGATCTCGTTGAACTAGCTGGGTGTCA